AGAAATCTTAAAGTCAGGTTTTGTTCCTTTCTACCTCTTTACAGCTGTGTATACTTTAAAGGGGACCTATCATGCAAAATGCACTTTTGTACGTCTTTTATACATGAATATGTGTCCCCGGTGTTCCAGGGAACTCACCAAGTGTCAGAAAACACAACCCTCTCTATTTTCCTCCATACCCAAATCTCTAAAAACGGGGCTGCAACGGATCTGATAAAAACTGATCCAGATTTGAACATTCCTCTGACGTCAGGACGGAGGAGCTGACCTATCAGGGGAATGAGAGGTTGCCGTGGCATGGTAACAGCATGGTAACACGACGCTCGTAACTCGGCCCCCTCCTTTGCAGGGGGGCGTGGTCAGCTGCAGCGCATGCAAAGACAGGGTGGAGGAGAGCAAAATAGAGCGAAATGAGGCATGGCTAAAATGCATGATCTGTTTGGTATTTTGAAAAAGAAAACGTATAAATATACCTTATATAGGTATGGCCCTACAATATATCATTCAAATATAGCATGATACTGTAGGTCCACTTTAAATGCTTCATGTTTTTGAAGACACCGTTAGAAAGACATCACATGAGATAATATCTCATCATTCCCTCTTATTTACATTTCTTTCTCTTCATCTCTTGTGTTAATTCTGTCTGGCATGATGCTCATTATGCATTTGAATGTTTGTACGAGTGCAGTTAATTAAAAGTGTAAATCCTCTCTTGAATCTCAGGTCCAACCATTCATTATTTTTTAACAGCTCTTTCATGATGAGCAGCTTACAAAGGAAAGAGGAGGAAATGAAGAAATCCTCTTCTTGATTCATAGGCAAAGCACATTTGGTTTGTGGAGTGGGATATTTTAATTTCAAATTACCCAGTGAATGTGACTTAACATCCCTCTAACCACTGCTGTGATACTGTACAGGAAAACCTTTCATTCTAAACGAAGGTTAATAAAGATGAAACCTGCTAATGACAAAACGAACTAATGTGTATAATATGAAAGCTGATAAATACCATGTTTCTTTTTAAAAAAATATGTTTTTCTTGAGGGCTGAGACTGATGAATCCCCCTCTAATGAGCTGTTGTTAGCTGTAATCATGGCATAGTATAATTGGAAATTGTTCCCTCATTCAACAGTGTTTTAATTAGTCTACTTTTAGTTGAATGCCAAAGATAATTAGTCGCGCTGAGCCTTCACCTTAGATCTCTGTATGAACACACAGTATATGACTTCATCTGATAGAGTGGGGGTCCGTGGCCATTTAAATACCAAGTCACAGGGGAGAGAGGGCGTCTGTAATTAGTGCTTCTGCCTCTGGCTTGACCCTCGGATGAGAACTGAGGAAATATCAATGGCAATATGAAGTTATTGTCTCTGATACCGTAATTGTAGCCGGAGGGAATGTGCTTTACTCTGACATTATCTCTATTAAGCTAAAATAAATGTGTATGTGTAAACCCAGCTGTGAGGTTTTTTTTTTTCTGCAGGTAGTGGGTGGGAGTGCTCCTTTCGCTACAAAATAAACACATGAGTCAGTGTCTGTCTAATCACATTAAGCAGTACCAGGAAGCCTTATGTCCATTCCACTGAGAGCATCACTGTCACAAAAATACTCCTGCTGTGTATAATCACGCTATAGTGCTCGGAATAAAAGCATCCATTACAGCTCTACCTCCGCTTCTGATCCACTGAATGCATATAGGAGAGAGACATGTCTACACTTCTATGGATAAAAGCTGTGTTTTTGAGTGACAAGAGGATACTTTTCTTTGCACTATCACACCATTATCTTTAGTGCAGTATAGTCACTTTCTGGCATGCGGCATGTTATGTTATCGTGATGGCAATTCAACACATAAGGCGGATTTTTAAATACGCGTCAATTCCGATTTTACTTAAAGGTCCCATGTCATGCTTTTCTGGTTATTACCCGTCCCCTTGTGTGTTATGTAGATTTTTATGCATGTAAACGGTCTGCAGAGTCACAAACCCTCAAAGTACACCCTGTAGCGAGTAAAACTCTAACACAGAAAATACCTGTCTATGCTGCCCCAGAACGCCTCGTTGGACATTTCTCTTTTTCCATTGTTTACTTCTTCGGTATAGTGACGTATTTCGGGTATAGTTACGTTACGTCCGCGGAGCTGTTACGTTTGGACCAATCCGCGGACTTCCACACACACACACACACACACACACACACACACTCGGCGGGACGTTGCGAGGCTCACTGCTGCGAGGAGCGGGACACTGTGAGCTGGCTCACTGGTGTGGGGTCTGCCAGACAGCGAGACACCGCGGAACTCAGCCTGGGCACACACACAAACTCCCAGCCGGGCTGCGGGGGTGTGTGTGTGCCCAGGCTGAGTTTCTCGCTGTCTCGCAGACGGCCACTGGGCTCACAGGGAGGGGGGAGCTCCAACAAGCCGTTTGGGACAGAGAGTGAATACACATACTATACAGAGATGCTGTATGAGAAACCAATGTGAGTTTGGAAAATTGCACAATATACATTTATTTTAGTAGACCTCAACAATGGAATTATGATCAGTAGAAATGGCCATGACATGGGACCTTTAAAAGTCATCACATAAATGGTTGGAAATTGTTGTAAAACTGGCAACAATGAAATGTATTTTATCAGATTAATGTTAATATCACAGCAACTTCGTAATAAATATGCACAAAGAGGGATTAAATGTATGCCTTTTTTTACTGTTTACCCTCAATATGGGGCGAAAAACAACAAGATGACAGGCACTGGCTCTCTATGATTTCAATATTCATTTATGCGATTCTGTGGATGAATAAACATGCAGCAGAACGCTTTACATAAAGCAGGTGAGCAAACAGGAATTAAAAAACAAACTTAACGTCGTGTCACTCTCCGTTTAACAGATCTTAAAAAATAGGCGGCAGAAATGACTCTTTATTAATGTCAAATTATGAACTTGATGAGACATTTTATTACGGTATTCAAGGCAACACTCATTGATTAAGTGTCCGGCTATGATCATTAATAAAGGCTTCATCTTGCAAAATACTTAATCATCTTTAAAACGGCAAGAAGAAATGGCAGAACACTCTTCTACCTTGTTATTATTCATTTTTTGACTAAAAATATGAGCTGAATATCAAACGAGCATTGTGTCTCTTTCCATAAAGAGTAAATCTCACATATTACATGAAGAAAGTTTAGCCTTCAACTATCCTCTCAAACTTTAAGCGGTGTACCTCTCGTTCCTCTTAGGTGTAAATCACTTTCCACTCTGTTTGATCGCAGGCATATGCAAATTACTGTAACTTTTATCGTTTCGGCTAAAGGAGCCATGCCTGAGCGTGAAATGGAAGATTAAAATGTCCATACCTCCAGCGCGCTGTAGTACATCTTCTTTGCGTCGTCGTCCGACTTGTCTGACATCAGATATGATTTGATCAGATACTCGTAGAAGCTGTCCCCGAGGCCCCCGATGGAGACGTGATCTGAGGAGAGGAAGAGGAGGGAGACAGCAGGGTCACAATCAGCTCTATCTGCAGGGCAAAAAAAGACTAAAGAAGCGTTGAAAGGTTTGCTCAAAAGAAGAACAAGTGTTTTTGTATGCAATTTTCTGGCGGTTGGAAGATGTTGTACACTTTTAAACTAAAATATTGATTCCTGTGACAGTGGATAGTGTTGGACCTGTAGCAAACAATGTCACTACTGCTAGCTACAAAGTCCCCTACGTGTATTGGGGTTACAGATGGGGTCCAAAACTAGCAAGCCACATGAATGTCTGGGAGCAAATACATTTTATATGCTACACAAATATGGACAGGATCAGTTGAATTTTCGGAATATTGGGTTGCAGATTAGCATTTTCAAAAGGGGGGTTCGTTTAGCATGAAACACTTGAAATAACTAAAGGATAAATTAAAAAAGAAAGTAGAAAGAAAGTGAGGTCAAAGAAGTTAGCAATGACTGAGACCCCGTCCACACGGAGACGAAATGGGTTGTATCCGCTACAGTTCTCTATCGTATAGACGGTTCGTCCACAGGAGGCCGACACGGAAACGCGGATAACGATAACGATAACGGCTCCCAAGGTGGGTAGATCTGCGGACGAAACGCTCTGGAGGGCCAAACGGTTCCTACGTGTACGTCCTATACGATCATTTCCTGATAACGATGACGCCATAGCCCCGCCTCTCCCCACCTCTGCTGCTCACCCCCGCGTCATTGCTGATGTGTTTCGCCAACAACAACAACAATGGCGGATCACAGGGTTGCTTTCGTGCTCCAGACGCTACTGACCATGCTACAGCTCCTCTCCCACAACCATCAGCAACAAGTGGACATGGAGAACTACATGAACTACATGTTGCTAAATCCACCGCGGAGAATAAACAGAAGGGCAATCAGGCAACCATGGCAACCAATGAACGGACACGTTTATTGAGCCGTATCCGTGTGAACGGAAGACTTTTTTGATATGGACATCGGTTTGTTTTCATTTTCGTTTCCGTGTGGATGGCGCCTGAGAGTCAGACATAAACATTTCAGATGTGTGTATCTCACACTGCACTGTAAGTTGTATTCATGTACCTTTGTTATTCATGTTTTATTATCTTTGCTTTTAAATGAATTTCTTTAAATGCCAATTCATATCCTTGCTTTTAAATGAGTGATGATGAAATTATTTTATAATATATTTCTTAATGCTCTTAAAGGTAGGGTAGGTAAGTTTGAGAAACCGGCTCGAGATACACTTTTTGTTATATTCCATGGAATGCTCTTAACATCCCGATAGCAATGAACATCTTAAGTGCTTTGACAAAAAATCCATAAAAAAATGTCATCTGTGGAAGCCGTAGTACTGTAAAAAGCACGGCCAATCATTTTAGCCGGCCCGGCTAAAATAACTGGATGGCCTACCTGCCTGTCAGCCTTCCATCTGTGCACAAACTTATCTCGTGCCCTCATTGGTCATGTGCGCGTTCGTGTGTGTTGGAGGAGGGGCTCTGTAAGGAAGTGGCAGATTTTCTCCGGCTGTGTATTTTCAAATTCTAGCGATCTCGAGCTGGTTTCTCCAAAATTACCTACCCCACCTTTAATGTCTTTCATTTTTGTAAAGCACTTGCCTTGCCATGCCTTACAAAAGCTGGGAAGTTAATTATCTCATAAAGGGCTTAAAACTGAAATATCTATATTAAGAATAAATCATGTTTGTTGTTTAATTCATCTATCCATTTAATACCGCTTATATAGCTAAATCCATTCATCTAATGAATTATACCTTTAAGCACTTTTATGTAACACTGCTACTGCACTATTGTTTTTATTCATCATATGCAAAATAATGCCAGATAAGAAGTCGTTGGCAATGAAAATCTGAAGCCTCAGGCGCCCGCTACACTGCTAATGCTAAATATGTATAATACATAAACATCTTAATCGAAACTCTATGAACAAATCCTTTTTAGAGGCCACCACGTCTGAATAAGCTGTGTTTGGTTTTCTGGATTCACAGTTACATACTCTTTTGTGACCTGTGGTAGACAATCCAATAAATGCTGCACTGTCTACATTTTGTCACTCTTTCTTTGCTTCTCTGGTTAATTATAGGCGTGCACGATCATGTTCCATGAACCCACACGCTCTCTGTTCACTGAGGGTAGAAAATAATTTATTTGAACTTAAAATAATTATGTACCACGCCTAAAGCTTTCTGTAAAGAGTGGCTGTTGATCATCCTCCACAGTTCACACTGTCATTATAAAGGTGATATTGCAGTGGAGGCGTGCATCTCTCCACTTATGACACACACACACACACACACACACACACACACACACACACACACACACACACACACACACACACACACACACACACACACACACACACACACACACACACACACACACACACACACACACACACACACACACACACACACACACACACACACACACACACACACACACACACACACACACACACACACACACACACACACACACACACCTCTGTTGACTCCCCGCAAGGTTATCACAGAGCTGCTGTGTTTGTCCTTGACACAGACGGAAGAGGGTGAGCTGTGAAGCACCACATTTTTTTTTTTCTCCCTTTGTGGCGATAAATATATAGTTTGCCTCTTTACACGCTCACCCACAACAATTAGCCTCTGTAATCATCCAGATTACCACATATTCAGGCCCGGAGTCGCCTTTTTTTCAGCTCCTTTCAGGTAAATCGGAAAGATACAATTTCCTGAAGTAATTGAATTCATTATCATTTTAATAACCCGGAGCTTTGGGAGTTATACAGCCACTGCTATGAAGTGATATTAAAAGTGAAAGGGAATAGACGGATGGGTGGGTGACACAGACGAGCGGCCTGAAGAGCTTTGGTGCGTGAGCTGACTCCAGGTCTGTCAGCGGTGAGGAGCCCCATGACAGAAATGAGGAAGGTAGAAAATGTGAGAAGACCTTAAATGACCTCAAAGTTAAATATAGTGGATGTTACATTGTTGGAGGAACCTGGGACTTGAGATTCTCTTTGCCATACTTTGCTCGAGCTGTTGTACACATAACAATAAAGCTTTGAATCTTTGAATTCTTAATTTTTGAACTTAATGAAGAAATAAGAAGATAAGAAAATAATGTGTCATCCTGTTCACCTTATGTTTTTTCTTCTAACAATGTCAGAAAGCCCTTGTCCTTCATTACAATGAGAACTCTATATCAATCATTTAATCACAATCATTTAACGGATGTTTAATCAGAATGAAGCTCCCATATGAAGCTAACGCAGAACTTACGTTGGACCCAGTTGCCACTGACAGGACTGAGGAAGTTGGGGTACAGGCCGTGTGGCTTTTCAATCTTGTTCAGTACTTTTCTGATGTTCATCACCTGCAAAGGTACAAAATATTATGGTCAAGATACTGCACGGAAATAGTTTTACACATTCAACATCTACTCTATCACTGCTTCAAGCCTGGGAACCCTCCTGCAGAATAAAAATACTAGGAAACCATTGTCAAAAAGTATGTCAAATAGTTTAAAAACATACCATTGTTATGTAAGTAGAATGACAGCAGAGATGTTTTTGACAAACACAATTTTTTCTTAACTTAAAGTGGACCTATCATGCTATATTTGAATAATATATTGTAGGGCCATACCTATATAAAACATGTCTGTGAAGTTTTTTTTTTCAAAATACCAAACAGATCATGCATTTTAGCCATGCCTCATTTAGCTCTATTTGCTCTTTTCCAGCCCTGTTTTTGCAAGGGCTGATTCTGTGAGAAGTCTTCTTCGCTGCTTTTGTGGCAGACTACAGCGCCACTTACAGGCCTGGCATATGTACTACAGCGTCTCCAGCGCTTTCGAGCGGCAATGGCCGTGGCCCAACCCCCCATTCCCCTGATAGGTGGAGAGTTGCCCATATAGGCGGAGCTCCCTGTTTCTGACGTCAGAACAATTTCAAATCTGGATCAGCTCCGTTGCAGCCCCGTTTTTAGAGATTTGGGTATGGAGGAAAAGAGAGAGGGTTGTGTTTTCTGACACTTGGTGAGTTCATATTCATGTATAAAAGACGTACAAAAGTGCATTTTGCATGATAGGTCCCCTTTAAATCATTATTACTTTATGTACACACAGGTGCAAAAGAAAATCACACCACAGTATTTTTCATTGTTAATCAGAATCATGATGCAAAAATAATAATTCCTTCCAATAACGTAAACTACAATATCAGTCAAAATTACCAAAACATTTGATTTCTTACCAATCCTTCAGCCCTGTAAAGTGAGAATGGAAATGTGATCTATATGTGTAAACTGTATAATTATATCACCTTCTCCGTGAAGATTGGATTCCTGGAGAGCTCAGACAGATGGACGAACTCGAGGTGGAGGGTCCCGAACTCAGCCAGGATGCTGCTCCCGGCTGAGGCCCAGCCCCAGCTCCAACTGGTGCCACTGCAACAAAAACCAAACAGGTGGACTAAGTCTCACAGCTGTGACACACACCGCATCTACAGAGAAAACACCTCCATAAAAAGGTTGCATATACACTGCATTGTAATTAGAAAAGTTATTCACAAAGGTGGTGGAGCATTGTTGGGAAGGTCGTTTAAGATAATAATAAGATAAGATAAGATAAGAGGTACTTTATTGATCCCACATTGGGAAATGTTTGCGAAAACAAAACAAAGCATTGCACATAAGTAGAAAATTAAAGAGTAGAAATAAACAATACTAAAATGTAAACATCTAAAAATTGAATTAAACCGTAATATACAGTAGACTTTGAAGATAAAAAATCTATAAACTCTGACAATAAAACACAATTGAAAGGCTTTATTCAAAAATATTTTATATATATTTTGACTGAGGCTGTTTTTGTATCGCCAAAAAACCCAATCAACAAACAAGAAGAAGTGTATTAATTTCCTCTAAAGGTGGGCAGTAAAGGAACCTGAGGCTACACAATAATGTTCAACAAGCTCCTTAGTCAACACCGCAGCTTAACTTGAACTTGTCTTAAGTTTAATATGCTTCTTTATTTCACTGTTTGTCGGAGTTTATATTATCAACCAAAGGTAGTTCCTGCTATCAAGGCAAGGCAAGTTTATTTATACAGCAACTTTCAACACGAGGCAATTCAAAGCGTTTACAAAAATGAAAGACATTAAGAAATAGTGCAGCAGAAACATATTATAAAATGGCCTTTTATCAGATGAATCACAGCCACTGTTGTTTTCTCTGTTACTGAGTAATGCAACAAAGCTAATTCCTGATAGCAGCCGCAGCTTTAGAAGTGAGTCCCTCTCAGAGTTTCTTTAATTTGCTAAATGTAACAGAAAGTAACCGACTGAGTGCTTGGTGGACCTCTTGGCCTCTTCTTCAGATTCCTGCTTAATGCATCATAACAGGCGGGTCTTATTTTGATTCCCTTTTCAGATGGAAATCAATAACCATCCACCGCACGTCTGTCTCCAGAGATGTGCATAATGCTTTCCATCCAAAGTGTATTGATCTATTTGAACATTCAGCGGTTGTCATTTGTGGTTTTCAGACTTGGACCATGAATCATCCGCATAAACTCGCTCTTCCTCGACTTTATGCAACACCAGAGCAGAAACGATAAATCGATGGTCCATTAGCATTTGACTGAAAATGAATCCCCAAAATGTTAATGGTTTCCCCTTCTATAACCAAAACAATTCATTGTTTATTTTTAAATATATTCTGGGTACGGTACGTTTTCCGATGCCATTTCAATACGTCACTTTGGGCAGTGGTAAATGTTCAAAAGGATCTGTCTGTATTTTATTGACCAAATTATTGTATGAATAATTCAAGAAAAGTTTTGGGTTGCAGCACTATCAAATGTGTCATGAGTCAAATTAAGTTGATCAGCTTCAAATTCTTCTCCTAAGTTCATGCAACAAATATATGTTTAAACATACAATATTTGAATACATAAACTGCACCGTCATCCACCTTTACGAAGGTTTATGGTCGCATTAACCTTGACTTGAAACTTGCCAAATTGTGTGTTTTCACTGTGAAGACGGCATTAAAGTTCACCTATTATGCAAAATCCACTTTTTCACGTCTTTTATACATAAACATGTGTCCCCTCTGTGTAAAGAGATTCTGAAAGTTTCAGGAAAAAAGATTCTCTCACTTCTTGTCCTGATCCATTTATATAAACCTGTCTGAAAATGAACTGATCAGATTTTGGCCACTTTATGTCATAACGATTTTTTGGCTTGTGTAACCATTAGCCAATCACCAAGCAAGGTAACCCCCCCCCCCCCCCACCTTATCACCTGAATCTCCTCCTAGAGCACCATTGTGTTCTTTTTAACCAAATATCTCTCAGAGGGGCGTGGGGAGTGACTCCTTATTTTCATCTAAAGTAACAGACAGAGAATCAGCCCTTTAGAAACAGGGCTTAAACAGAGGGGATTATGGGATGCTGCAATGATCTGTTTGGTGTTTGGAGCCAAACACTTCAGAGACATCTTTTGTATACATCTGACACCTATAATATATTGATGAAAAACAGTATAATAGGGGACCTTTAAAGAGTAACCCCAAAACCACGAAGACCAAGGTCAAGAACAGTGGAGAACATTATGTTTTATTTCCTCGAGTCAGTAAGGCTAATATCGCCGTGCAGATCTAATCCTCCGTTAATGTGCGGTCTCAGAGACGGTGCACTAAAGCTCTGATCACTAGAGGCAGAATATACCAGAATGACTTCACATATCCTCTAATAGACGCTGCAGAACATCACAGATCCGGTAATGAATTGAACTGAATTTGTAAGATGTAGATGGAGGGAGGGGAAAAAGGTGGGAGGTGGGTGAGTCAAAGGGTTTTCCACTCTGATGAATGCGTCCATTAAAAGTTTGGGGGCTGCATCATTAGAAGCTGTGGCTCGAGTCACATCTGAGTCTCCTTTGAGAAGAATCAATCTCAGAATCAAAGGTGGAGGTTTTCCACCGGCTCTCATTCATCTCATCAGCCCTTTAACAAACACAGACTCACTCTCTCATAGCTGTCAGAAATTAAATCAGGTGTGGAAAAAATCTATATTACATGTCATGCATAATATGTTAGCCTAAATATTTCTACCCTTTGATATTTACTGGGGACACAAACACATAAATAAAACTGTGTGACCTCTCAATATATGTAATTAATTGATCACATTGCAGTATCTACATGTTTGTCCAAAATGCTATTACATATGTGTGAATTTGCCAGAATTACCGTACAAATTATTGAGTTTTTTGGGCAACACTTTTTTTATTTACTTTGAAGAGAAGAGTGAATTATATAAAAAAATAAACAAAATCATATTTATTTCATGGATATTGAAGAAAATAAGTTTAATTTAGGTTGCTATCAAGATCATCTTTTAGCTTTTTTAAGGGCGTTTATTAAAAAAAGGAATTGCTAACAATACATTTTTTGAAATCATTTTGTAAGCGACTGTGTATCAAATGTGTTACAACGTGTAAACTTATATACATAAACAATGAAGAAGCCTGGTGTGAAAAGAGTCACTCGCTACAAAAGAAACCCACTTATTTTTCAAGAAAACTAACTTACAGATATTTATTAATTTAATGTTTATGTGATCGGGACAGATACACTAGAGAATGGCACAACAATTATCCAGAGCGATGCATCGCAGCATGTAGAGCTGCTGTTCATTCTCAACGCCTGTCCCTGGACATTTTCAGCAAATATTGAACAGATGATTATTTTCTCGAAATCTTTTCATTATATAGAAGATAAGAAGCAGGAACTAGATGATATTTTTGTTTTTTCCAGAACATGTATTAAATAATAATTTTACTGCATCAACTAATCCCTTAATCAAGCAATCTTTCTACTCCTTATAAAGAGAGAATAACAATGGAGGGGTAAATGCGTCAGAGCTGAGCCTCAGTTCCTGTACTACACGCCAGTAGAGGAAAAATCTACTTTTATAATCCATCTCCCTCATAGTAACTTTTAGATTTTAAGATACATTATTGTTGGGTATTGTGTCTGAACTGTAGTGGTGCTGTGTATGGAGAGTGTTGTCTTAGATGCCGGTGCCAAAGAAAAATGTCCATTTATAGCAAATGTATGGACAATAATCTGAATCTGAGATATGGAGTGGGCAGATATCTAAAACTCAACCTAAAAGTGTATTTAACCAGAAAAAGAAACTTGGAGCTACATTTCCCTTCCAGGTATTTGACAGGTCACATTAACAGAAACATGGAGGAGAACACTGAAAGCACCAAGAGTTGCTCAACAGTCCGTCACTTACAGCATATAAGAAAATATTTCGGATCTGAGCAGCAGAACCCCCCGTGTGCTCAGAGCTGACTTACTGCTTGTGCTACACATTGCATATGTTCTTCTCAAAGTGACGTGTGTGTGTGTGTGTGTGTGTGTGTGTGTGTGTGTGTGTGTGTGTGTGTGTGTGTGTGTGTGTGTGTGTGTGTGTGTGTGTGTGTGTGTGTGTGTGTGTGTGTGTGTGTGTGTGTGTGTGTGTTTGTTTGTTTGTGTGTGTGCACTCCGCTCTATGTCCCCCTGTGGGCGGCCTGGTTCCTCCGGCCCATCTGCACCACAGACCGTGTTGGTGATGCAGCAGAAATGAAAGGTGGAGTGAGGTAATTAAATCTTCCGGCAGCTGTCCACACTGGCTGCTGGGTAATTGCTAGCAGGTGGATGACACAGGTGCCAGGAAGTTTCGTACAAAATATGGTTATAGAAAGAGAGGAAGCGGAGGGTAAATAAACTTACATTTTATAAGCAGACATAGAAGGAGTTTACATTTAGTTGAATAACTTCCAATAATCAAACATGGCTGTGTGAAGGTAATACTTTAGATCATGGCACACTTCATCATTAAGCAAAAGCCTTTCAGATATTTTAATCTGTAGAACCTTCTGCTACTACTGCAGTATTCGGAGTAGCTCTCAAGATATACCTTTTAGTCAGCATTACACAAAATATGAGCTTTTGCATCTCTCTCTACAGATCATACTGATTTAATGGAAAGAAAAGTTTCCTCACACCTTTGAGCCATGGATTAAAGACATTATAGATCATTCAAAATTGTAGAAAATTCACTATTTTACAAGAGGCTCAGAAGATTATTTAGCAAACACTGTTTACACTTATAAAAGAAAAATGGACGCATGTGATTGTTTGTTCTGAGGAACCCATTTTGTATGTAGCCTGCTTATGTATTTAACTGTAACTGTACTTTTTCTCACTACTGTCTCACCATTTTTGTAACCTTTAAGTAATTTATTTTTTAATATCTTCATGCAAGTGTTAATGTCATGGATCGTGTTCAGTAAAAAAAACCTCAACAGGCCTGTTTATAACATCGAGTAAGTAAGAAAGGTTTCACTTGATTTACTGGAATTAATTCAACTTTAAATATAAATAATAAGAGCTAGACATTTTTTTTTTTCATACCATTTAGAAAACATCTCCCCTGTTGTTCATGCCGGAGTCGGGCTGTGGGCACGGAGGCTAGCGATGATAATTTGACTGCAGCAGTTACAGTGCTGCTATCAGCTTTCATCAGTTAGTCAAAAAAAGCTGTCTCACTATTAAATTGTAAAATGAAAATACAGAAGACACACACACACACACACACACACACACACACACACACACACACACACACACACACACACACACACACACACACACACACACACACACACACACACACACACACACACACACACACACACACACACACACACACACACACACACACACACACACACACACACACACACACACACACACACACACACACACACACACACACACACACACACACACACACACACAACTTTATGGTCAAATTGATATAAAAAATGAAAAAAGCTTGATGTTGTGTTGCGTGACCGTGGCATTAACACTCAATTGTGTCAATAAAGATGTTTTGATTACAAGGGTAATGGTTTGGAACAGATTACAAATGAACAACTCGTTTTAATACATGCAAATATTATTCATGTGATCTTCCAAAGTGTTTATGAACACAGATTAATTCTCATCCAAATGTTATCGTCATTGTAAAGCTCAGCCTGCAGCTGCTCCATTGTCAACAAACTGAGCCTGTTTGTTTGGACCTGTTTTCCTTTGCTAATTTACTTTTCTTCATTTATTTTTTCATCCACGATAAATTAGAACTATCATTTCAGAAAAGTCACGTGGCTCTCACTTTTGTCATTAAAAGATTTGGATCTATTTTTTATCGTTTTGCAACATTTATGTACCAAGATGTCCCAAGGCATTGCAACAGCTGAAAGTAAAAAAAAAAATCAGTGTCATTTCATGTAAGTGAGGATATAGAGGAACGCTGAACACAATGTGAGATCATTTCTTGTTTGTTGATATTTCTCACTTCACACTCGGCTCACGTTTTGGAAATAAGCCCTGCCTCTGGTTGCCAAGATGAATAAAATGCAATCTGTGCTGATTAATGCCAGCCAGCATGAGAACTTGAAATTGTCTGTTATCGGGGATGGAGGACTTCTGGAGGTGAAGGCTGCTGCTGAGACTCACCTCCCCAGGTTGATGACTCCTCGGGGGATTCCTGTCGGCGTGTTGAAGGCCGGCAGCAGCTTCTCTCCCAGCTCCACCACCTTTTTCTTGTAAAACTGGAAAAAAACATAAAAAAAGGTGCAATCTGGTGAATAGACAGCATATGTAGAAACCAGGGCTGTCAACTTTAATCTGTAAACGCTGACGATTAATCTAGAAACCTTAACGTGTAAAAATAAATCAACACAAATGAATCACCAAGTTTGATCTTAACTTCTTCACGTAATTCCAGCGTCGATGTTTACCATTCATTGCAGTAAAAAGGCAACGAAAGAGGAGGTATGGTGCATGCTACATGTATTACACTGACTGGGAACCACTGAACGTTGGTAAGCACTAAGCAACGGCACCCCTAAGCTACAGTATGACAAATAGCAATTGCACTTGTTCGCTTAAGGCGGGATGAAAACAGAGGAAAGGTGTTTTGCCGAACCATGAGCCACTTTCTTGAAGTTGTACAGACTTCCCACCTCTTCTCCTTAGCGTATTGACATCTTTTAGTATGTCGCTTTTATTGCATTTAAATTGTCTATTGTTTTTTACTTGTACTTGTTTTATGGTGTGTGAGCTTTGCTGTGGGATTGTTTGTACGTTTTGTTTGTTTATTTGACTGTACATCACTTTGGTCTGGAGGTTTTAAAGTGCTTTATAAAAAAATCTGTATTGTATTGTATGTATTACACAGACTGGGAACCACTGAACGTTGGTAAGCACTAAGCAACTGCATACCAAAGCTATGATAAATAGCAATTGCACTTGTTCGCTTAAGGTGCGATGAAAACAGAGGGAAGGCATTTTACTGAAGCATTCGCCAATTTCGTGAAGTTGCCCAGGAGTGGTAGATAGAGGAAGACAAGCACACTATTGTATGAACAGAAAGTGCTTGCAGTGTTAAAGCGGCAGAGAAAATATGATCACAGTGGCTTTCTGTGGCAGTGGATTGTCGATGTTTAGGCTAAGTATCGGAAAATTGTTGGACTTTACGCCAATTCTTCAGAAATCATGTTTCTAATAAAAGTAACAACGTCATGCACATCTTAATTTAAAATACCTAACATATTTGCAGAGAAAAAAAACTGCCCTTCGACTCATCCAAGCCTAAAATAAATCACTGTCACAGGCCGGCTCACATTTCCCCTCCAAAGCTAATTATCTGAAACATGAGGCCGGCTACAACGGAGCTCCAGCAGGATTAAAAGCAATCTCATCGATGTAATCTACAACGGCCCCATTTCAAACCAACGCACTTCCTCCCCATCTCCACCGGGCCCTCTGAGGCCGAGGCTGTGGCAAAGTTAATGCATCACCGTATGAGCCGGATTATCAGTCACAAACTCTCCATTAGCCAGCGGGAACAATGTTTGAAAAATTGACGACAGAGGAGTGAGATATTGAAACCCCTGACAAAGGGAGAGACGTCTGAGGAGACAAAGGTAGCCGAGCAGTGGCGGGAGGAAAAGAGGATATTCTTCAGAACTAGAAAGCCTCAGAGACACGAGAGAGAGCAGAAGAAGTGATTGAGTGGAGACGGACGCTGAATAGATATAGAGGGGAAACATAAGTCTAGACGAAGAGAAAACGCACACAGGAAAAGAGTTTGGAGAGAGTGGAGCGGTGACTCAGCAGAAATATTGAGCAAGTTATAGAGAAAATGGGAAAAACAAATTACAATCAGATAGTACACACCACTGGCCTTCACCAGGATTGTAATCATTGAGCTTGTAGTCGATAAAAGACGCTTTCACCAATCAGAGTGAACAAATATTACTGTAGATTTACTGTTTGCTGTAATGCAGTACTTGTTTTCATTGTTTCGTACCTAAAAACACATCTAGACTACGCACCTACATCATAAAACGTACATACATCATGTACGTAGACTATTCAGGACTCTCTTTGCTTAACATGCATATTTCAAAGCCAGTACCTGCAGTGTCCTCCTACTCAGGAGCGGTTCTAAGGGGGGGGGCCAACCGGGGCCAGTGCCCCCGTTACACTGACCCCTCCAAAAAAAAGGTAACAATATTACGATTAATTGGAACTAAATCAAATCAGAGACCCGGATGTACAGTGGAGATTAAACTGTTCATTACCTTATAAAAGCAAATAGTGTTTATGTTTTTTAATTCAATTGTCACTTAAAGTTACTAAAAAAAATACTCCAAATGAAAAAAACTACTGAAACAAAGGACTGTAACTTACATTTACTAAAACAAATACCTTTACAAAACCAAATAGCAATTACTGTATTTTATGTTTATTTTACACAATTACTTTATACTGTCTTTGTCTTTTTAACCCGCTTTTATTGTGCCCCTCTCATGAAATAACTAGCCCCAGCCTGGCCCCCGCAGGCAAATTGGCCTAGAACCGCCACTGCTCCTACTACCCATAAGCCTTTGCATGAAACTCTCACACGTTATCGAAGCAACCACTGTGTGATCTCTACAAAAACATCACTGACTCTCACTGTGAAGAACGAGGGATGCAAAATAGTTGGAAAATGAATAAATGAATACACAGATAAATGAATAAACAAATTGACTTGACAACTGCAGTTTCCAAATTACAAGAGCCGGCCCTTTTTCTTGTTTTTGCATTTTTCAGAAGGGCTGTTTCACGCCGGCTTGTAAACACAGAGCGAATGCTTGACCCTCAAATACAACAGCGCGTCGGACAAGATCTTTCATTACATTCAAAGTGTTCACTTAGCAAAGTCAATATGTGTGTCTAAATACTAGTCCGTTTATTAAATAGTGCTTTAAATACACTGGCCACAAATAGGAAATGTATAAAGTAACGCAAAATAACTGATGATCAAATAGTGGCAAACAAACACAGAAATACTTTTTGTATTGCTAAAGCTACTCATATTACCCTGGTGTTGCTGGACATACTCGTTGTGTATTTAAGTAGCTACTGTATGCATCTTCCTTGATAACATAATTGTGTCCCAGTTATTTGTTTATTTAATTTAATGTACTTTTATTGCTATGAGCTGGACCTTGAAAATAAATCCCCTGAAATAATGTTTTATACCTTCAGGGCCAAAAAATATATTACTCAAGGCTTCAAAAACCTGTTTATATTTTTCAAAGCAGGTTGGTGAAAAATGTATTTAAACTCGATTTTATGTTTTCTAGGTAGAGGTTTAAAGGGCTCTGTGATTTCTTTATTGCCAAAAATGTGTGGATATAGGTGGCGAAACAAAGTCAGGGTTAATTCAAGTAGAATAATACAGAGCAGCATAATACACAGCTTGATGTGTGTGTGTGTGTGTGTGTGTGTGTGTGTGTGTGTGTGTGTGTGTGTGTGTGTGTGTGTGTGTGTGTGTGTGTGTGTGTGTGTGTGTGTGTGTGTGTGTGTGTGTGTGTGTGTGTGTGTGTTCCACTGCCTCTCCAGTCCCCTGGCTCTCTATTATATCAAAGAGAGCACTAATGACCCTCTGCCTGGTCTCATTCCTCCTCCTCGGTCCTTTCTACCACCGCTGATGCTCAGTTAGACCAGAGGCACACACACACATTCAGAGCAGACACACTCTGTTCAAAAACAAGCACGCACACACACAAACGTCCTCTTAATTGTGTGCTGGGCTTGCAGCATTTAGAATTGAACTACAGAAATATACTTAAGTTTGTGTGCACTTTGTAAACAGGACGGTAAACTCACATTAGGGCTGCACATTATATTGCTTTTTTAATGTCATAGCAATGTCAAATTGCGTAATAAAACCAATGCAAATTACTGCAAAATTGCACTTGGTGACACTTAGAAAGAGAGCCAGAAGTTAACTTGTCACTAAAGTAATTTGTGTTTTATTGGGGCATTTTGTGCTAGGTCTTATCAGTGAGTTTAATAACAACAATGTTTGAAAATAATTTCCTTTACATTTTGGGGCCCTTTTTTCAAGCTTATGGGGTTTTCCTGTAGTTCCCCCCAGAGGGAGTTTCTCTCACACACCTGCCTGAAAGTTACATCACTATGGAATACACACACTTCTATACTTAAGATCGATATTAAAAAATACTGATTCAAAATTGTACAAGTTGAAGCTTTTGTTTGAACAGTTTGCAGGAGGCAGGTACTTGCTTTCAAGCAGAACAGGGGCAAAAAAACTTAGCGGGAGTGTTTACGTGTTTGGTGTAATGACGTCCTCGACAACTTCTGTAGTCCTATTCAGCCACTTGTTAACAACCATCGTTTTTCAGACACGTAAACTCTTCAAAAATCACCAGTGGGGGGTCACTGCTGATGTATTTAATGTCGTTGAACAAAACGTGACAGACCTTATTTCCAGCTATTTTCCAAAATCCTATGGAGAGATCCCATTGGCTCTGAGACGAGGGAACCGGTAGTGGTAAAATGCTAACTCACTTCCTGGTTTTAGGACTCGTCACTGCACCACTCTATTGGCTAGCACTCCAACAAAGGTAAGGGGCGGGACACCTTAAAGCGGTTGACTAATCACAACAGAGCCGGCCAGCTAACCAATCAGAGCAGACTGGGCTCTGGTTTCAGACAGAGGGTGAAAAGAAAGTATGAGAAAAATAAAGACCTTTTTGAACATTAAAGCATGGAAACATGTCACAGCAGAAGCTGGAACATATTATAACAATAGGAACCTGGACATTAGCATAATGGGGCCCCTTTAAATAATGCAGTTTATTTAAAATATGTTTTATTGCTATCGCTATATTCAACAAATGTATCGCATATTTTTCTCATATAGTGCAGCACTAACCAATTACAACCATGCTTTCCTATTCCAATATGAAACACCTAAACACTCCCATCAAGAAGCAGGGGCAGCAGATTATATCGCACTCATCTATTCTTGTTTGCTTGTTTATAAATTATGTGATTGATTAGTGTAAAACCCCCTTGGCTGGCATCTGCTCAGTGATTTACTGTACGCTGTACACACGCTGAATTGATGGCCGTGTTCATAAATCTGTCTCCACTGACACTGCTCTCTGTGCTTCACTGAGAGACTCCTCCTCCACGTGAGCTTCATCACCAAAGTGCTGCTGTAATTTCACTCTGTGTGTTTGCACCG